AATAATCTCACTAATAAATCAGTACCCCCAGTTCTACTTCTGTCTGATGGTGTCATCCACCATCGCCTAATTTTTTTGATTTTTCCTTTTTCAATAAACTACTAATCAATAAAAAAATAGTATTGATTGTAACCAACTCCAGACATTTTCTCGCGAATATTTGGTGCGCTTTGAGCACGCAAGCATTCCCAACGATTTAAGTTTGCAAATTATGGTCTGAACGCTCATAATTTGAGCATGCATGCTTGTCGCTTCTCAACGCATGCGTGTGGTATGCAGATCTGTACGCGGCTATAAGTGCTTTTATCCCCTGCGCGCTGTCGCGTTCCAGTGTTTTACTACAAAAGGAACAACTCATCTATTTTTAGAACATTGTATTGTATGGTTAGTCGTCCCAAATATTCTCGAATGACATAAAAATTGAAGGTGTTACCCTGCTGCACGTGGCTTTGCGTGTTTCAACTACTGCTAGATGTGACTCTATTATTTGGTGAGTGAAATTATTGTATTTTAAAATATATCTGGCTCAATTAGAGAGTTTCCGTTTTTATTTTTACGTCAAAAATAGTCATTTTCTGTCTACGCAAAAAATTCCAAATTCGTCGATGGTTAAATAAGTTTATATGAGTTAATTTAATAACTCGATATTTTTTACTATAGATGATTTGCATATCTTTGCTTCAGATAATCCACAATCACAATGCCGAAACGTCCAGGCTCTCAACCTTCATTGGAAAATTATTTTGTTAAAACTCTCAAAACGTGCAGCAGCAGCCAGGATGATACAACTCTGGTTTCAAGCACGTCACAAGAGGAAGAAACCACGTGCGATACTCAGCTACAGAAGCAAAACAAACTGAACCTAGCCAGGACATCATAAAAGAACCGCCAAAGTTGACAGACCTCTTAGATTTCGGAAAGTACCTAAATCAAATAAGGATTGACGATGAGATGAAGGTAAAACGTCTCAGCAGTCCATGGATCCCGGAAGATTCTTTTATATTTCCTGAATCTGGAAAAAGGAATCTGCGATTTCAAAGGCAGTGGCTGACCCGCTTTTCTTGGCTCTTGTACACCAAAAATGATGGTTCACTTTGTAAATATTGCGTTTTGTTTTCGAAAGATTTTTGTGGAAAAGGATTCAATCAGAAAGTAAAGTCGCTTGTAAAAGAACCATTCAAAAATTGAAAAGATGCTTTGGAAATGTTCACTGCACATGAAAAAAAGAACTATCACCAAGAATCGTTGGTAATCGGTAACAACTTACTGAAAACATCAAGAGATCAAAATCTAGACATCAGGAACATTGTTGATGCTGTAAGAAAGGAACAAGTAGAAGAAAAAAAAATGGGGGAAGTTGATTTCCATAGTCGAAGCCATTAAGCTTTGCGGGCGACAGGACCTGGCACTCAGAGGAACTGACGATTCAGGACCAATTTTTGTAAAGAGCGACGAGCCGGTGATCAACGATGGAAACTTCAGAGCAATTTTAAGAATGAGAATCAAATGTGGAGATGAAAAATTAATCAGGCATGTTGAGAATGTTGCTCTGAATGCTTCATATATTAGTCCAAATATACAAAACCAATTGATCATTATATGCGGACAAATAGTTCAAGAACAAATCGTGGAGAATATCAATGATGCCCATGTTTTCTCGATATTAGCTGATGAAACATCAGACATATCCAGACAAGAACAAATGTCCCTCTGCGTACGATATACTAAAAATATGGGCAACGTTTACGTAGTCAAAGAAGATTTTTTATGTTTTGTACACGTAGAAACCACAACTGGCGAGTATCTGGCCAACACGATTGTTGCGACCCTTCAGAATCTTGGCATTGACTGCAATAACATGATTGGACAAGGCTATGACGGTGCCGCTGCGATGAAAGGATCATTCAAAGGAGTTCAATCAGTTATCAGAAAAACATACCCAGAAGCTTTCTATGTTCATTGTTGTTCGTATTCTTTGAACTTAGCTTTATTCCATTCATGTAATCTCCCAGCAGTCCGAAACTGCATAAGAACTGAAAATTCTATTGCAACATTTTTGAAAGCATCACCCAGAAGAACGACGAAATTACAAGAATACATAAAAACGCGTTTTCCTGAAACAAGGTGGAAAACATTGACAGCTATGTGTGAAACAAGATGGGTGGAGAATCATGATGGCCTTTTTCGATTCAAAGAAATATTTTCGGCTATTGTGGGGACTTTAGAAAATCTAATTATTGATGGAGATATGGACACTTCTTCCAAAACTTCATCATTTTTAAAATCTATGATTGCAAGTGAATTTGTTATAAGTCTCTGTAAGTCTGAAGACTTACACAGAAGAAATAATAAAACCAATTTTGAAGTCAGTTATTGCGGACAAAAAGTATTGGCTAACCTATATTTATATTACCTGGTGAGGTAGATCCTATTTTTGGTCGTGAATGGCTCAAAGATATAAAAATTATTCCACCTTTAATTCATCAGGTATAGGACGGTATATATTGGTTAGAAAATTCGAAATCCCAAATTTGAATGAATTACGAAAAGAATTTAGTGCAGTTTTTGAAACTGGAATTGGTAAAATAAATAATTATGAAGCCAAATTATTTCTTCAGGACAACT